CAAATGAGCAATCAACACTTTGAATTGACGATCGATTCTATTATGATAATATTTGAAAAGCAGGTCATGTTGGATCAAATTCATCATTTTAGATTGATGACCATCTCTAATTTGTTTTTGTCAATTAACCTCTTCTACTTCTTAATTAACATTTTTGGATACTATATTATCCCAAACCCCCCTTAACATATCATGAATAAAGGATAATAAAAATACTGATTTGTCTATTTGTCTCATTGAACATAACAGCTCACAATGTGCTCATTTACTAAAGTATTTAGCACGTCGAAAATATTTTTTTTGTTCTTTTTAGCATGAAAAGATGCATGTAGTCAAGTCCAATTGAAATGTTGATATTATATTGCATCAGTAATATCAGGACAAAATTTGGTAGGAGTCACTATTGACTTCACATGATGTTAACTCAATAGGCTCCTGAAGAAACTTGTGTGTGTGTGTACTCTTTATGCTTTCCACTCCCGAGAATGAACGAAAGCATCCAACACATTCACCCTGTGGGGATTGTGTTTGCCTCATGCAATAAATAATATTTGCATGGGTTGGTGATACATCTCCATCAGGAAATATTTAGATGTTTGGGACCAGAAACATTAATTTCAACTTGCATGCATCTCTCGAAATGCCCGTACCATATTCTGTATGTCAGTAGGAATTTATGTATGTCTTGGCACACAATACTCCCAAGCAGCCTTCAATCTCCATTGTGATCACTGTTCAGAATAGAGAACTGAGAATGAGGACATTTTGTAATGAATGATTCATAATTCTAGTGCTACTGCTTTAGTTGGTAAGTTACAACAATTTGATTTAAACTACAATTATTTGTGGATTGAGACTTGCATTGATTTAGGCCATTTAACTGCTTGTCAATTGTTGAGCCCTACATAGTTGGAACTAATACATGTAACTCTTCAATCAGTGATGGCTTGTCCTACAGAATCTAATGGGCATCCTCTTAAAGACATGTAGAGATATCAACATAACATGATTAATCTTTAAAATATACTACTTATGGTTGGATTCACATAAATCAAGTCATTGTGATCCATGTAACACATGTAGATTCAAGATAGTGACATGGAATTTGAGTATGCCCTTGAATAAGACAGCATCATGGCAACCTATAATTTCAAGCATGTAGCATGCATTTCCTTCAACTTCTTAGCAATAATCTCTTCTGGTTTTACACCACAAGAAAATAATCTCTCTTGTGAGTTCATTTTATATCTTATATCTTCTTCTTATATCTTCTTCCAAAAACTCCACAATCTCTCTCTAGTAGAGAAAAGACTTATGAATCACATCCCTTAGGGATGATTCTTATAAGAGCATACTTATGGATTGATTGAACAATTATAATAGATGAAATCTGGATAGTAGATGATTCTTAGTTCAGAAAAGAACTTATAATAAGTTCATTGTAATCATTGAAAACAAAAAAAATGATAAGAGATCTAATATATATTCAAACATCTCATTAGCTCGGCATATCATCCAATCACTTACAATGCTTGACATTATTAATTATAATACTTGACGATTTATATGGTTTTTAAAGTTCAAGTAATTAATTTTATGAATTAACTTACCATTTAATCTTGACAATTGTAAAAGGCTCTTATAAGGAGTCTCAGGGGTTTTGATGAAATTAAGTATACTCATATATAGAGAGAAACTCAATTGGCTCACAAAATGGGGGCATGCGCATGAATATATAGAGCTCTTTCTGTACTCATCTAATTAGTAATAAAATTTTATTTTTTAGGGAAAAAAAGAGGTCTTCGGTGTTAGAGAAGATACTAAACTCTTTGAACCATTCTAATCCCTTATTACACCTTCTCAGCACTAAGTATTCAAAATGCTTTTACCAATCGCTCTCCATGTAGTTATATAAAATCTGCATAGATAATAATTAAATATGATTTTATGACCCGATTAAGTAAGAGACAAAAAAGAGAAAAGACAAATCGATGAAAAAGAGAAAAATCCATTCATAGTTAGACAAGAGTCAACCAAGTAAAACGACTGCATGTCACGGTAACAAATTATATATATATATATATATATATATATATATATATATATATATA